GTAGTTTTCCGTGGTCTCCCCAATCAACACCTGGCGAATGCCGGAGCACTACCCTAATAAATGGGCCATGGACCAAACGCAATCATTGGTTCCTCTTTCTTTGTCCTATCCTCACCACTTACTTATGCATACTTACATGCAGTACACTGCCACACATGTCGGGAGATCAGCCGGGAGCTTTGAGTATGACCCGGCTGAGATGGTGCTGAGAGATATCACCATCCAGTGTATAATGGTCATCGACACCTCTCGCGTAAAAAAACGCACTTCACTTACAGGCCTAATGACCATAGCAGTTGATGCGCCTGAAATCACTAATTAATCAATTATATTAAATCAATAATATCATCTGTTACAGCGTACAATCGGATTTTTAAAAAAATGATCGGACCCATGAAATAATGTACAAAACTTTGAAAGAGCTTATAACCCACATATCGATTTAAACGATTACATTTTTAGGAACAACGGCTAGTATAATGTCTGTTAGAGCAAAGGATTTGCATCTTCCGTTTTAAGAAATGAAACAAAAGCTCTTCTGCCGATTAGCTCGGGAACTTTGAAAAGTAGCCTGAATATACACGCGCGAAAGTTAGCGGAGCTGTTCTTTGTGCGGTCCAACATCACCTTCGCGGGTCCACAACGATCGTTAAGAAAAAAAGGGGGGTGCCCCGCCCGTTTCTCGCTGTTCAAGGTCACGTAATCTGTATTTACAATGCGAAATCAAAACGTCTTATCTCATATTATGAGAATTGTCATGTCGAGTGAAATGACTTTCCATCTCTTCCTTTCATTTGACATTTTCAAGAGGATTTTTAAGAATTGGATTGTTTAGTGTCTCTGGCGCGTCGATTCGAAGGTCATTATTCCCGTCAGAATATAACATTTTTATCACTGGAGATGGCGGCGAATTCCCCTCACAGGATGGTAATATCCGGCTCCCATCTTCCCGGCTTGCGGAATTTTCCCCAAACAGGGGCACCGCCCCAGACGGGACAAGGGACAAGCTCCTGACTGGTCTGCAGACATGTATGGTAGTGTAATGTGTGTGTGTAAGTAAGGGTTCAGTAAATCATTACCAGGATTCGAAGAAAACACGGAACACTACCGATCAGAGCAGCCGGTCGCCCTCCAGACAGCAACTGAATTCGACCTAGCTATGAAGCTAGTGTGTTAGGTGATTTCACCTAACACACTAGGTAGCTAGGCGCGTTCGATCACCCGGGAATTTTACACCTCACGCTCGCATTGAATAGGTACAATAAGGAACTAGTGGTGCTACAATATGGCACAGACTTTCTCGAATTAGTTTTCTATTTTTCTTTGGCCTCGACTAACTACTCGGACTTGCTATAAACTCTTGCCAGCTGTTATCTATCGCCGCCTAAAGTACTTTTTTTTTTAAAAAAAACTCATTTTTTCGGTTCCATAGAAGTAGAATCGAAATATTTTTTAAAGAATATATAATAGAAGAGAAAAACTTTGTCCACTATGTTAATTCTCATTGAAAAATTTGGAGCCGTTTTTAAGAAAATTACGTTTCAGCGTTACTGAAAATGCGAAGTTTGAAGCTCTTTTTCACAGAAAATTTTTGAGTTTTCGGAAAACTCCATTTGAAGTCATTTGAAGCACATCTCACAAGTGCAATAGTGTTTACAAATGGTTAGAAATGTGGATATTATCAGCATGAAAGATATTACAAGAAAATTACAATTGTGTATTTTTTAAAACAAAAGAATACCATAAAATGAACATTACATCATATTAAACGGTGCATTAGCCAATATTGGAAATGATTGAAGAAAGAAATTCGTGCCATTTGTTTTGAAAATGGGCTTTGAGCTTTCCTGAAAATGCGAAATGTTAAGCTCATTTCATCAAAAAACTGTTGAGTTTTTGAGAACCTTCATATGAAGCAAAGCTCTTGTACTTATAAATACATTAATGTCAACAAATTACCAGTGATGTTAATATTTAGGACGTGAGAGAAGTCAAAAAATATATTGTTGTAATTTTTGAAAAAAACAAAAGGACAAAGCATTATGGTACTTATGTCATCTTATAGAGAACTATCCTTACCAAAAGTTTAAAGAAAAATTGAAGCTGGTGAGAAAATCTTGTTTTTGTAATTTTTTAAAATACCAAATATTTTACGCAATATTGCGTGAAAACTATTAAAATTTCCAAAAAACTGACCTTGAGGATGACCTTTATGAATTTTGGACAACAAGTTTTATTTGAAGAAAAAAGCTATTTATTTTTAAAGTTGTAAGAAAACGAATAAAAAGTCAAAAGTTTGAAATTTTCGAAAATTCGGAGTTAAAGCGGGAAATTGTACCTATGCCACCTTTATAAATGTGCTCTCTTGCAAAAAATTTAAAGAAAATTTGGTATTGTTTTTGAGAAGATATTTAAAATGTCCGGGGGACTTCATGTAAAGTACCCTCACATTTTGAAGAATGTTTTTCAAAATCGCACCGCCTCGAGTCGAGTGAGATCGACCGAGGAATATCCATTTTTGAATAATTATTGGGTAGAATTTTATGGTTTAGGCGTGGTGTTTACAGACGGACAGACGGGGGGACGGACGAATGTTAAAAAAATACTTTTTTGGTATCTGGTGACCCAAAACGGGAATTTACGTTGATATCTCGAAATCGATTTTCCACAGCATTACATAACTTTCGCTATATTACGTATATTACTCCGAACATACGTACGTATACGAGAAAGTAACTAGTGATAACGGAATGGCACACACTTTCTCGTAGTAAAATTTTCTATTTTCCTTATTGAAAAATTTAGTCATTTCTACAAAGCTAGAGATTAAGCGAATTTGTAAATTCGAAATTTAAAGCTCTTTTTCACGAAAATTTTAAATTTTCAAAATACTTCATTATAAGTCATTAGAAGCACATTAACTCACAAATACAACAGTGTTTATAAATAACTGGAAATGTGCATATTAATGGCAAGAGAGATATTTCAAGAAATTTACAATTGTGTAATTTTTGAAAAAATGAAAAAAAATTCCCCAAATTAAACTGTGATTCATATTAAGCACAGCAATTAACACTTTCCGTTGGAAAAGTTTTAAGAAAAAATTTTCTTTTTGAGAAATCGATGTTTGAGCGTTTCTGAAAATGCAGAATTTTGAGCTCATTTTCACAGGTAACTTTTTAGTTTTCGAATATAAAGCTTATGTACTCATAAATACAATAATGTAAACAAATAGCTGTTAGGGTAAACTAGCGAGAGGTTAAACAAAAAATCCATGTTTGTAATTTTTGAAAAAGCAAAATAATACAGGAAAATTAATTTTATTTCATATTAAACATTGCCATTAGCACTATTCGTACGAAACGTTTGAAGAAAAATTTGGAGCAGTTTTATGCGAAAATGTCATTTGAAGGTTTTAGACAAATGGGATGCACGTACGTGCGGGTATGTAAGGGTGAAGATATGACAAGGAAGAGGAAGGAACAATCGCGCTCGGTCCGTGGCCCATTTGTAAAGGAACTGCTCTGGTACTCGCCTGGGATTGGAGAAACCGCGTAAAACTACCAATCAGAGCTTCCGGACACTAGAAGTCTCCTCCAGGCAGCGGCCTAACTATCTAGCGTCGAGCCTCAAACTCTAGCACCTTCCGATTAGACGTACTGTAGTTGATGCCCTGATCCACCTCAGGTAGTGTGTGTACTTTTGAAGAAGAAATCGTTTAAGTGTACCGCACCATTATGCCTTTTTTTTTTTTGGTCTCATTTTTCGTGTGCGCCACAACTGTTTGCCACTATTCACGGGTGGTGCCTTTATAGAAGGCAGAAGATTGCAGAAGATTAAAGAGGAAAATCGTGAGAGGCGTGATGTGGAGAGGTCGAAGACGGTCACTTTCTGCCAATAGAAGTATGATGGGAAATTTCATATAACACAGTTAAAAATCTGATATTTCCCCTGATGGTTAGGCAACTTCTCACGCTTTAGTGTTTGGAATGTGAACTAATACTATTAGCGTCAAAACGTTACCTGCCGAATGCCAGAGCATTGTATTCATGCTAGGTCATTTTAGGTAAAAACACACTAGCTTGTTACTCATAACATTAGCAATAAACAAATTCGTTTTGGTTTTAGAAGCATAGATTTCCATAGAAAGTTTGAATGTTCAGTTAGTGTGAAATGCACATCAGGAGACCCCAAGTTGAGAAAACATTATTTCCATTAAAAAAAAACCAAAAATAAACCAATTTTGTCAGAAAATTTTCAGCCTTTTTTGAGAAAATGTTTTATTTTCTAAAATTTTCAATTTTACTCATAAAAGGTTTTGAGATTTCGAGAAGCATGGTAAAAGATGATTTGAAGAATTTATATTCGAAAATGCAAGTAATTATAAAATATACAAATCAATAAAGAATAATAAGAACATATAATTATTATTACATTAGTATTATTATTAATGTATAATTGTATTATTATTATTATTATTATTATTATTATTATTGATCACGACAATCAAGGAAAGTTCATTTGATGGTTGGGTCAGAAATACAAATATGAATTTAATTCACGATAATAATTATATTAAAGCTAAAATCACAAAGTGAACTGTACAATAAAGGGACATCAGAATGAGAAGCAACCGAAAGCATGTACAAAAGTAATCGTTCAAATAAACATTCGTCCACACAAATTTTCCGAGAGAGAATTTGAAGAAACAATGCTATCGTTAGATTAGAGCTGCTATCGTTAAAAAAAATCAGACGTGTTGTATAATCAAATATTTATAAGCTCTTTAGTTTCATCCTGCGGTTGATTTTTTGTTCCCTTGCCGCTTTTGACAAACGACAAAGACAAGAGCAGGCTATAAGAAAACCATCCGGATTGCACATCTCCGGTATTGGGAGAGGGCGGGCAATATAAGTGAAAAGGAACGTAACGAACGTAGCCGAACAATACCGAAGAGACACGAAGGGAACCGCGAGGGAGATGTGGCCGAAATATACTCTCTGGATGTGGCAGGCTGGCTGGACAGGAGCAGCCAGGAAGGAGGAGCAGCGGACACCAGCAGCGACAGGAGCAGCAGTAGTGTCTTGCTTAGAATGTGGGACAGTGTTTGTTTTTGTACAAAGTATTTTTTGTAATTCGAATGTCAAGACATACAATTAAATACAGCGAAGAAAGCAATTATCGAAGATCACCAGTATTTAAATGTAAATCTGATGTGAAACTTTTCCTGAGTTGTGTTTATGTATGACAGGAATGTATTTCCTATGAAAGTTTGTAGTATGTTAATTTCATTGAAATAGATCAGACTCCAAAAGAAACATACACCGGATGTTTCAAAGTAAGTTTGCGCGAACACTGCGTACGGTTCGTAAATTAAGTATTTTATCATAATACATGATTTGTGGTTACAGGTACATATTTAGAAATTTCTTACCATCTTCCTGCTCACAGAAGTTTGTCATGACATTGGAATATATGTGACACTGGGCTGAAAAATATTAGTTGACTAAGCCATCAGAAATCTGTGGCTGTTTTGGAGACAAAATATTTACATTCATGTGCAAGTGTCTTCTAAATCTGGATAAAGTTCAAATGATTTTGTAATTACAACATAAATATGCATGAGTTATTTACTCAGGTATTAAGTAAAAAAGACCTATCAAAGGTAATCAAGAATTGATAGAATATTGTTATGACTGTCATATATATTTTTTAATGTCCTTTTCTAATACACATTTTTAAATTCTCTTTGAAGGCAGGAGATTTATTCTCAGTCTCTGACCAAGCAATTGTGAACGACTTAACAGAGGTTGTAAATACTATTTGTGAAATAACTAGTCTTCCAGATTATGTGAACAATGACAATGATCAAAGTGTTGTTGAAATATGCATTACAAGAGTTACCTCAGCTATCAGGTAAGTTTAATTAAGCCACACGTTACCTGTACTTTGTACTCATCTCATATATTACAATTTTTCAGAGAGACAGGATCAGTAGAGCAGCATGCAGAGGCCTTGGTCACATTACTTGAATCATGCTTGAATCACAATCTAAAACCTTCAGCTCGGGATGAAGATCCACCTCATGCCAAAATTTCATCAGACATTATATCATGTATATTTTTGGTAAGTTTATATATGTCATAGATAAACATGTGAAGGAGATAATATTGTTTGGGCATTGTTAAAGCAATTATTTTTAATTCTTTCTGATTAATATTCCTTTTGTGACCTTATTCATGCACATTGGAGCGTAGAGAAATGTCTAGTTAATAAAAATCTATGGATATGTTTTGAGCATACTAGTTTGATAAGCATAAATTATATTGAAAATTTCTCTGAGAACATTTGCCAAATAATTGTATTACATATTTTCCTATCAGTCTTATAAATATTTTTGAACTTTTGAACAAAATGATCCTAAAGCTATTAGACATTAAGGGGAGAAAAACAGAAATTTTTACATCTGTTGTTGGTAATATAATTCACTAAATTATGATTTATTGTGTACTGATTTGATTTCTATTTTTATCTTCAATTTGCTCTATAACATCTGCGTTGATGATAGTAAAATTTTCTTCTGCTCATTCATAACTCTTTCTTCTCATATTAAAAAAAATCTAAAATTCTCTTGTTGGTTATAAAAAAGTATCCAACATTTAAGTGGCACAATTTCTGTTTTAGTTACATATTCAGAACAACCTTATGAGCTGCTTTGCAGGCCTAACACAATGGAAAGCTACTGATGTTATGAGTCTTAATATTTTCAAGACTTCCGGGACATATAATTGAGAATTGCCTTTAACATTGTATTCCTCTTATGTTACTTTGTATTATTTTATTCGATCTCTCCTCGAAATCACAGTCGGAAACTTTTTAGCCTGATAGTTATTTTCTGCATTTTTTTTTCTTCCAACCACTAATTGAATTTTAATTTCTACTAATCAATAAATATGAATTTTCAGGTAGCACTAATATTTATTACTGAGTTATCATTTATGCTTTGTAGAATTACAGCAAGAAGGAAGTGATGAAACGTGCTTTGCCTGTGGCGGTAAAATTTCTGCACAAAGGCAACAAGGAACTTTCTCGCAATATGTCTTCATATCTCTCTCTGGCAGCTATTGAAAATGCAGATCTACTTTCAAAACATATACAATTAATTATTGACTCTATTATTGCTGGTAGGTATTTTATATTAGTTGTGTTCGGTTCTAGTTAACTACTATTGTAATAAGATTGTGCTGTAGTTTCAGAGGGTTAATTTCTTAATCTATCAATATTGGTAGTTTTGGTTAATTACTAACAGAGATTGTGCTCTAGTTTGAGATGGTTAATTTCTTGCAGGCAACTATCCACTTTGTCGAGTACTTCCTCAGATGTATGCAGTAAATATGGAACCTCTTCATGATCATGCTATGGCACTTGTGTCTTTGCTTCCACAATGTGACACAACAGAAAAACTTGCTCTATTGAGTTTATTTGCTCTCATTGCAAGAAACAGCCCTCAGGCAAGTAAAATGAAAGAGGTTTGAATTTATTATCTACTTTCAAAGTTTTAATGTAAATTGCTGAACTGGTTTAAAGTACTTTTTATGAATGGATGTATATATTTGGGTATCAAAAACCCCCTAGGGTTCTGCACACCCTGTAAGTGAACTTAAATGATGAAGTTGTGTTATTTAACATAGAAAATAACCCAACAAACTATTTCTAATAAAAGTAGATATTAATAAACTAAAACTTGATATCTCAGATTTTGAACATGTACAGTTTTAATGTGTATTAAAATGCACCATTTTGGTGTAGTTTTTTCTAAGTATTTGTTATAATGAAGCAAATGATAATCGCCTATGAGGCATTGTGAAGTGATCCACGGTCAAATTTATTTTAAAAAAATCAGTGACGATCATGCACTTGATTGATATATTTTCTTATAAATATTTAATTTTTTACTTGTTTCTTTATATCTGACTCTTTGCTTGTTTTACTCTCTTCTCATGTCTTAACAGATTTTCAAATTAAAAATGTTTTTGCGTAGTTACTGGAACCCAGTTTGCCACAGTTGTGTGAATATCTTACAACAAGTACCACTGCAGCAGCAGCTATGCAAGTGTTTTTGGATATGGCTAACAAACGTCCTCAGTCACTCACAGATTATGTTCCTAAGATCAAAGAAGCTGCTGAATGCCACCCCAATACCCTCTGCCTCGCAGCTCAAATAATTTCTTCTGTTGGAAAACTTAGCAAGGTAATATTTGAAACCAAGTTTTTCAGTGCAAGCAAGCAAGCAAAAGATTTGTATCGGTGAAGCAGTGTTTTATTGTTGAGTCAGTATAGTCCAGTGAAGTGCCATTAAGGTGAATTACTTGTGATATGTTAATTAATATTGATGTGTTGAAAGTTTTGATAGTAAAAGCTCTTTTTTTGTGGTGGATCATTGGCAAAACATTTTTTGATAGATTGTCTGCTTCTCAATCAAAAGGTCTTCACTTAAATTTACAAAAGCTTGACATACTGAAAGCCTGATTAGGGAACATAGTAAGTTTTATTTTATTAGAGCCCTGTTTCATTACGAGCTCTGTCACAAATAACTCTTTCAGGAATGTCAAAAATAGTTTTAGGAACCATTCTTCAAGAATATGGCAAAAAGTTTTAGATTAGAAGAGAATGTATAGTTAGTCTGCTTCAGCTGCAGTCATAGTTTAATGTTCATTCAAATTGAGTGTGTGTCATATTTACAAAATTAGATTATCACAATAAATTGAATTATAAGACTTTTTCATTTTGATTTGAATAAGTTGTAATGGCAATGTTTTGTGTTTAATTGTCATTCTGATATTCTCTAGCGGTGTGAATTTGAATCAATAAATTGATTCAACTGCTTAAAAAGGTGCACATCATTTGTCACGAACTTGTACAAAGCATTAATAGTTGAAGTTTCTATTATGTTTAGAGCATTACAAAGTTGAAATTGTCTCAGATAATTTCCTTCATCCCAAAGACTTAGTAAGAAAGGAGATAAGAGGAAGATAACATATGTCAACAAAGCAGAGCTTGTGTGAGCTGGTCTGGCAGCAGTTCTACAAATGAGTCAGTATATTCATAAGAAGCAGAATCATTGCTGCAATTGGCAGCGGGAGGGAAAGAAAAAAAAAGAGGGAAGAAGTAGTTAAAATCTCATTTTGGTTTCTTATAGCACCCTATTTGCAATTCCATTTCCAAAAACCTGACCCCTCACCCTACATTCACAAACTACCCCTCACCCTACATTCATCAATAAGAATTGGGTGAAATTTCATATGATTGTTTTAACAATTTTCAAGTTTAATCTCAGAAAATATGCGTTATTAATTTTAATATTTATTTCTAAATTTGAAATTAATAATAGACAATTTATCTGAGTGTAACACTTAATAACTCATATTTCTATACCTCTCCTCAAAATACAATCATTGTTTTACAGGATCAAGCCCAGGAAGCTTTAAATTTTGTGCTTGAACATCTCCCTAAAGCTGACCGCGGATCACAGAGTACATTATTGCGAGAAGCTACTTTACTGTGCAGCAGTTACCCTGTTTTATTCACAGAACGCATGTTAGCAGAAGTTCGACAATGCAGTCATAGAGAAAATGCTTTAGGAAGGTAAGAAAAAGTTGAAGTGTTTATAGACATAAAATGAAGCTATTGGTGCTACAACATCGCCCAGGCTTTTTTGTGTTATTTACAATAGTTACATAATATTATAAGTCATTTCTTTCCCTTTAAACGTCTATTTTTAACTTGTGTACACCAAAGAATAATGTTGTACATGTTTTTGGTTGGACATAATCAAGAAAATAAAAATCTTATCCTCTCCTACAATAATGAGAAAGTAATTGTATTTTGAACATGCATCTCAAAGGACTTTGTTTTCTCTCCCTCTTTTCACCAGATAAATTGTAAAATTGAAAACAAGTATTTTGAAGGTGTGCACCAATATATTTATTTCTTTTGTTGTAATGAGTGACATTGTCTGAAAACTTGATAAACATAAAGAACACTTACTAGGATCTGATGAATGTTGTGTTATCATGCAGTCAGTTTACAGGTCATTGGTTTTGATATTGAAACATGATGTGTAAAAACACAATTTTTTTTTATATAACATAACCACTCAATCTGTCACTCTGGTATTTGAAATACTAAACCCTAAGTTTGCTTTTTAGGTATTACTTATTTAGAAAATGCTTGAGAATTTTCAATAAATAATTTATTTGAATATTTTAAAAATATGTATTATTTATAATCATTTTTAATTTAGAAAAAGATTATAATACTGTATATATAATATATTATACTGTTAATTAGTAAAATAATTAGTTAATGAAATTTGAATATAAAAATAAATATAAATTTGAAAAAAAAATTATTAATTGAATGTTAAGATTATCTAATATTTTTATAGCCAATATCATAAAATATTTACAAAAAAATGTGGTGAAATTACAAAAGAAGGATGGGGGGAAAAATCCTTTGCAATATGAAAATATTCTTGTATAGTATTATCTTTCATAGAACGTAGCGGAGGCATTTTTATTATGAATAAATTGGTGGAAATGCATTCAAATGCTGTGTTGGAAGAAAATTGGAAGGGACTTTCAAACTTTTAATGTATGGAAAGTGTAGTTAAAAAACCAAACCTTTTTCCAATTTCAGTATTCTTGTTGGTTGATGGTATGATTGAGTTTGTAATAATTTCTGGTTCTTTACCAAATATAATGTCCAACATATTTTTCTATAATTTGTTTAGCTCAGCTCAAGTCAATAGGACCAGTGGTGGAGTCACAATTGTGAAGGTTGGAGGAAGCCGACCCGATCTACAAGTGCCCCAACCTACAACTACTTGTGCTCCAACTACTTGGCTGAATCGCCAAGAAGTGAATAGGCTAGTCATTGGTCGTGCTCGAGCAGAGGGAGGTGGAAGAACAACTGGGCGGTTACAATCTTCTACAGCTCATCGCAGCATGACCCGGCTGAATGTTGGTCAGAAAACTTTCCTTTGTTGTTTAAATTAAATATTTGTAATATTGCATGTGTACCTTTTTGCATGTATTTGAAAAAATAAGTAAATAAATTTTTTTAGTTGCATTCTTCTTCTCTTTTTTGGTTAAATCATAATCTAAATTGAATTTAATTTGATTGAATAAGTATTTACTTATAAATCAATAGTATATGAAACATGATATGATATGTGATATTTCATTTTATAATGTATACTGCTTTAATAGTAATTTTATTACTGCCATCACCTTAAAAAAAGTGCAGATTTGTTCCTTGTATTAGCTTATTGCACTTCAATGTCAAATCCCACTAGGCATTAGTTGTTCTTTCATTAGTTCTGAATTCATGTAAATTTCAACTATGAGCATGACTTAGGAGTTAAGAATTAGTAGATGTGTATCACATTCATTGTTGTATAATTTCAGTTTGTTGTGCTTATTAGAGCACATTTCCCGTAGAGATATGACAGCTCAATGACTGCTGTGCTGTCTAGCCAAGTGGGACACCAGAGTTAGATTCCTTTCTTAAGAGGATATGGGAGGATAATAGGGATTTCTTTCTTAAGAAGAAACATAAATACCATTCTGTCAGCTGTTAATTTGCATGTACATTTGACTATATCGAAAACTATTCAGCCTAGTGCTGTCAAATTTTAGGAGCAGCTTGGTGGACATCTGACATAGTTTTTGTAACTTTACTGAAAATAAGAAATGAAAGTAAAAAATTTTACATTCTTTTTCCTGTACTTTTATGTGTAACGTAAATCTTGATGTGTCAAAATTAAAATTTTTTGGAGGGGATCAATTATCACTTGAGTAGTTTCAGAGAAGTTAAAAGTGTGTTTTTCACAATGATGTAAAATGGTAAATATTTAAAAAATGTTGAATGTTCAAAAATGTCAAACATTCAGATTTTTGTTTCAAGACTCTCCTTAATGCAATGTTAAATCTTGAAACTATTTCATATACCTATTTGTAAAAATATGAGAAGTTTTTGCAACTTTTTTAATTATATCATTTGCGTTTTCAAGGCAATAGCTGAAGTGCTAATTGAATAGAAAATGTGATACAATATTACATAACCGTTACCATTAATATTAAAGTATGTGCTGTTTTAGCTTCACTAGTTTGTGTTTCATAAAGATGAAATTTCATATTTTTATTAAATCGTATCAAATGTATTTTATTTATATATTTATTGCTGATTAATGGACTAACAGCCCAAGAAATTTATTAAATAAAACTAAATTAAATGAAATGTACAACACAAAACTACTCACTCATACACCATCACCCCTTGCGCCAAAATGTTTATTCACACATAAACAATATGTACGGTCACACAACATAATTTGATTAGAATTCAATGATAACATTTGGTCTTACTTGAAATATTCTTGTTGGAAATTAAGAAAATATTTGTTTCCAGGAGGAAGTCGTGCTGGCTCTTTAGGAGGACTGCACAAGAGTATGACTAGACTCAGCTCCAGCCAGCAAATAAATCTGGTTCCAGCCTTTGGCAATCGTGTTCCTCAAGCATCAGTTCCCTCTCAGCCACAGCAACCACCTGTTCCTCAACAGCGGGTTTCTAGTGGCGGTGTCACAGTCACAACTGCCAGCCCCAACAAAAGCAGCACGTATGCATAAACATTTTTGAAACGATTAATGCTGGGCATATCTAAAATAACTTGCCAAGCCAAAGCAGAAGAGAAGTGAAACAGTGTGCTGTTAATATTTTTACTTGAGGAAAGACTTGAAAATTCGGTTTAAAATAGCTGCGATGGTACATGAAGAATAAAAAACATGAGAATATGTGCATGATATACTTTGGAAACTTATATATGCATTTGAAATTGTGGAGATACTAGTGATCTGCTGGTTATGAGCGGTTTTGCAGAGACTCATTCCACTTGTTTTCAGAGACTAATTCCTCTTACCGCTACCAACCTAACAGGAACAAGAGGGATCATAGAACTGGACATGCTTGAAATAAACAACATAGACCAGATAGATTGAAGCAAACTTATTGCAGAAACGGCATACAATTCATGAATTTATTTATCTTAAGGCGCCCACCATGGCCTAGAATGGATCTCAACACAGTCTCAGGCAATCTTGGCACCACGGTACTTGGCCAATTGTATAGCCATGTTCCCATGGTGAACACCCCCTTGGGTCAGTCTTATATGAAGGCGACGCCAGCTGGATTCAATGTTGTTTGTGTGAATCCCAGTGACAGGATACATGAAGAGAAGAGAGTGGTTCACTGCCCCATTGATAAAGTTGTTTTGATCGAGCTGGCTGTACCCCCCCTGGAAGTCAGTGTAAATTGTGGTGCTGGGTTCTGCAATTGCTACCAAATTCGACAATAATGTGGCTGAATCCCTTCTGTTATTGGGGCACACTTTCAGGCAAGCTTCTCAATTTTCCCAGTCAATCATGCCCAGAAACCTCTGTCCTTCTACAACATGACCACGATAATATTTCTGGCATCCGATCTTGCATTCATATATTTCAATGATATGGTTTTCACCTCCAATGATTGGTATATTACATGTTCAACGCGTGGTGGGAGTATTTCATGAACAAGTCCACTCCGCACAAAACTAGCAGATCACTTGAATACCCGAAATTGTTTCAAGTAATCAAACCTAATAAATGTGAGAAATTTAGCTTGGAAGAAAGTATGTGATCGGTAAGATTGAAAATGTTACCTCACCAAGTGCATAAATGACCTAATCTCCTCAAAGAGGCCTTGCAAATCTTCATATAAATGAATAAAAAGGATTGATGCGCTGCTTCTTGCCTTTGCATTGGAAGTTATTTTAGGTAATAGTAGTATCTTAAAATGTAGACCCAATGAGTCATTTGGGCAAAAACTCTTAGTAGCTTTGGCAAATTCTTCTCAAGGGGCTGTAAGAACTGAAAGGGAGTTTCTTAGGAGAAAAGGAAAAACATTTGAAGGCTTTGGGATGTAAAACACTATAACCCATAAGGAATAGCTTGCAAGATAAAAGCCATTATACATTTTAATGTAGGATCGTATTCATGAACATGACTTACTTCAAAGTAAGCTTACTTTGAGAATTCAAGTTGACTTTGGAACAAATGGGAATCATTGACAAAACTTCCACAAAGTGAAAACTGGCAGAAATAGACTTAATAAATAAATAAAATAAATTACAGTTGAAACTATGTATTTCACAGTAGAATTATATCTGCCAATATTTCATTGTTTTTCGTAATCTCAGTTGTTTCGTGATCAGAAAGCAGGCAGAAGTACATGTGAGTTTGAGAATGCTGCTGCAATGAGTGCAGTCATGAGTTCATCCTATTGACTGCAGTGTAATTATTTATAACAACTTAATAAATCAGTTGGATTTAACTATGGAAATGATTTTTCCGTAATCAGTGAGTAATTAAATGTTAACTACGGTATCATTCCATGTCAAATCTCCCCAGGAAGTTGATTTTCAACCTTTTCCTGTAATTTTTTGTAAATTGTTATAATACTTGTAAAAAGCAAGTTACATTGCAACATGTAGTTTTATATTTCTATGTGTAGAATATTATGAGAAATAGGCAAGTATGAATATGGGTCTTTTCCCAATTCAGTTCCCAATAACTCAAAAAATACTCTGCCCCAAAATAATGGAAACGGCTGTCTCTGGTTTACTGAGTGGATGATTTCACATGGACTGATCCTGTAATTCAGTTAAAAATTCAAAATATTAGCATCTGAAGTGTCAATGTATGGTAATGCTTCCCCCCCCTTTTCTTTTTCAATTTTCTCTTTTTACTGCAGTACATTTGCTCACGAGGAGAATAATCTTTGCATTCATAGAAAATAATGTGAAATATCTGCACACTTAAAATAAAAGATTGTTAAAATTTTGTAGCAGTATAACACAAATACAATAGAGAAAAAATATTTATTATTGGTCATTCTGCATGCAGTTGGCCGACTTACTACTCGCAAATTTCCAAAATCAATTTGAAAGTTACCTGAAATCTCAAAAACAATCAGCTCTTGCCATTGACAAAATAATAGTTAATAAAAATCAGCAATTGAACATAACCTAATGAAATATTGACAACCTAATGTTCATGAGTTTTGTAAAATTGTTTTTTATATATCTTAGAGAAATTAAAAGTTGGATTATGGAGGAATAGATAGTCCTCTTCTATTGTCCTTTTGCAGGTCATTTATAAATTTATTGAGGAAATTTAACGTGTTTATCAAACCTGAAGCATTTTTAAACTCTTTCCATGTAAAATTCAACAGGATTTTGTGTATCACGGATTATATTCCAAGTATTAGTCAAATGTTACTCAAGAACTTGATATCTTCAATAACCCCCACAAAATGAACTGGTATATCCATATCAGTCATTCTGGGAATCATCGGATCTCAAAATTCACTTTCTGAAGTCGTAAGTAGAGAAAATCAGTGACTCGGAAATGAAGTTGCTTTCTAAGTTTACTTTCCTTAAAGTAATGACTATGAAATGGAAGTAGCTGCTTAAGAGCTTTAAAGTCTAAGTTTTGTTCATGAATACGACTCTTAAGGTGTGACTTTCTTGGTTCACTGGGTAACAAGCACAGTGTGACATAACAAGCACAATGTGACATTTCATTAAAAATGAAATTATATGTTCTTTCATCAACTTTTTGCTTTCATACCCAAGCAAATGAATTTCAGCCCTAAGACCTCACATTTCAAAATGAGTTTTGCACTGGCACTCTTGAAACACTGCACGGTATCATCGAATAATTGTAAATACTAAAATAATGGTGGCAAATATATAGAAACACACAATATAATCAATAGTGTAATTTTTTGTATTTTAATACCATGGATAGGTGACAGTCAGATTTGTCTGGTAACTGCTGAAAAATCACTTTGAAAAGCATGTACATCATGCGATATGTCACATGCTATGGCCGCGGTCCAGTAGAGCGCATTCTAAGACATCAAGCATGCACTGAATGGGCAATCAGATGGCTGAAGCGAAAAATTGCAATTTCACAAGAACGTCATTAAAGAAACAATAATTTGTGACAATTCAATGTGACTGGGGGACTATATGTAAATGTTTTGTTATATATTACATTATGTTTACAGATCAACCATTTGGATGACAAGGTTCTAACTAACATTTTCAATTGTTTCAAGTTGACAGAATAATGAGGTAGCAAAACTTTGACTTCTATTATATCCCTGTGTACAGTAATGATATTTACAGGGCCTGGCACTTTCGCACACTGAAACGGGCCCTGTTGCCTTACAAATACATTTTCTTTCCTTAAAGATCCCTGATTTTCCCGTTTTTATCACTTGACAATTTTGAAATTGTGTGACATTTAGCTCTCCAAGCTATTTGGCAACAATGTGAATGGTTTAACATAAAATCAATTGCATTTATTAATTATAAAATTAAAATTTAATTTTATAATGTATTTGAGGAAAATGCCCATTACATTGCTGCTAATGATGATTACAAAAATATAAACTTCTTTCTTATTAAATTCACATCACAATTACTTTAAATTAACTTCCACTTTCATGACTCTCACAATTGTACATTGAGTATACAATCATCTAGTTTGGCAAAACATACTATATATTATATCACATCACCTAGGATCTATAGGAAACAACATGAAACTTAAGATACAAAAAGCTTCTTTCAGTCTTGTACTGGGAAAATTATTTAAATCATACAATGAATATCTGACGAGATATTGCTGAAGAAAAAACCACTCTCCATACTTAGGTTCCACTCTCATACATAGAATCAATATAATCCGTATCTGCTCTAGACAAGCTTATACAAAAAATATTTCCATGGTAGCCTCTGGATGAGTTACTACTCTGTCAGGTCGTTGCTGGGGGCCTCTGGTTGATATCATACATGGAACCATGATGTCTGAGGTGCTTCTAGACGAGCTTATTGACTATATAAATTGTACAAAAAAAAGTGGGTTTAATAAGATTTATCTCATTTAATTTGGTGGTCGAAAGTCACCAATCAACCCTCTGTTGTTATTAACACTTTTATATAGCATAATATTTACAGTTGTATAAATTATACAATATAACATTTACTTTAATCATCTCAAAGAAGAGGAAAAAATGTAATGCCTCTATTCATAGGTTTAAAAAAGAAAATCGTATATATTAAAGTAACAAAGCATTTAAACTTCCCTATAATAATCTTTCATTGTAATGAAGTTGGAGCACACTCCGATATAGATCCTCTCTGTCCTCACTCAACCAACAGTATGATCTTAATGTTTCATTTAGATCACAATGGCTCACAGTATGTGCCATCTTTTGTAAGTGATATCTATTACAGAAGTAGCATTGAGAAAATTCATCAATTTCTTAATGTATCCCACCTACATTTAACAATAATTCATTACTGCCTGACAAACTTGAGTTGTGCCAACATAAAAATGTAGGGAGGGGGAAGAGGGTAGCTAATTACAAATATCCCTCATGTTCGGGAATTTGTAAGGATATATAAAGTGATATAACTGAGTATAGATTTTCTTTTTGTAGATTTCATTAATTTACTAGTAAATATCATATATAAATATTAAAGTTAAATGGGAAAGAGTTTACGTATTGTTAAATGTGGACAGGGGGGAAGGATTGATGCAAGCCATGCATAATTATTTAAGGGGGCTAAAATTTAGGTTACAAGAAAGGGGGATGTCGAAAATTCTTCAAAAATTTGCCGGAATTCATTGATGACAGCTTACTGTCCTTTGTCACTGTCTCAGCTGTCACTTTTGGTGCAAAAGCAGTGTTCATTGCATTGTGGTGTTCATGTCAATTTGCTTTATTAATAATTATTGACTAGCAAAGGAATTCACATTTTAAGGTGGTTGTTTGGGTTTCAAGTTTAAAATGGAATATTCATGCAATGGTCATTTTACTGTGTTAGTGTATTCTTATTTGGTACTTGAATTATTATTTTTTATTATGCCATTTTTTATAATTACCCTCTTGTTTCTTAATGAAGAAAATATTAAATAAAGTTTATATTTTTTGGAAGTGTGAGGTAAGCATATATTACTTTCACCTCAAAAGAGCATTGGAATTTTTGCATACAAAAAAACATTTTCTAATATTATTTCAAAATAATTGCCTTCAATTAATTAGTGGTTACTAATTGTTTTTGCAGAGGCAGTGGTTCTGCATTGCGTGATGAATTGACACTATCTATTTCCACATCTTTTCCTATTGCTACAGTTAGTACAAGCTCAACATATGTTCAAACAACAGGTTAGTTGTTCTTACTTTACATAGCAATGACCTTATGTAGATGAAGAAAAAAATAGGAAGTATAAATTTCTTGTGTATGACAAAAAAAAAATGTATGTGTTTTAGCTACCGGGCTTACTTTGAGCCAGTCTGGAAGTCGGTTGTACACTAGTGGTGCAGCACCAGCAAGAGGCCTCAGCAGTTCAGGATCCCTTGCCGCCCATACCATCACTTCCCAAACACTACCAGCTCCTGTTGTCACAGCACGCAGAGCAAATAATACTAGTGTGACTTTACTGAACAGTACCCAGGGAAATGCTGCAGCAGCCCAAGTAAGCATTTCCCCTGAATATTTCCTATTTATAACATATGATATTCTAAATGATAATCAAGTGTGATTAAACAGTCTTTGATTGCTAAGCTAAAAAATGCTTTCAGAGAATCAGCGTGTTTGAACCATATCCAATGCGCGATACTGTGCAACATTTTTGTGAGAAGCATTTGGACAAAATTAAGTCATACATGGAAAAGGTGTTTGTTCGCATTCCTCCCCCTGCCAAATGCACAATTGAAGGCAAGTATCATGATTTGGCCACCTACAATGTTATGTGGGTGTTTGATTCAGTGTAAGCAATAGGAAAATTATAATTCTGTGTTGTATGTTTTCTACAATCAGTAGTCTTTTAAAAGAGCAAAAGAAGTCAATAAATAAGGGATACACCTCATCAGGAAACAAACAATAGTGTTTACAGATGAACAAGTAATATTGGAAGAGTCAGAAAAATGTATATTTTTTAAATATTCCATGAAATTCATCGAATTGATGACCATCTAAGGAAAGGAGACAAATAAAGATTATCATTGGGGAACAAATTATATAATAAGCATCAACATTCTAATATTTAGGAAACATTGGATAATATTGTCAAGATCTGCAACACAAAAAAGTGAATGGAGTGAGCAAAAGACATTTGGGAGAGATATGATGTAAAAGGAAACTAAATTAAGAATCCACAATATGACAGCCAAGGCAATCCTATTATATGGTTCAGAAATTTGGATCCTGAAATGAAGAGAGAATCAAAGACTGGAAGCAGCTAAGTTATTCCTTAGACCTCTATATTAAACTGGATAGACCGAGAAACAGACATGAGGTAAAGACTCAAGACAACAAATATTACAAATTAAGATAAAAAGAATCAGAAGAAATGACTGGACCCTAAAAACAATGCAGTTATCTAAAGGCTGCTCTACAATGCAAACCGTTTTGGCAGAGACACACAGGAAAACAAAAAAATTGTCTCACAATAACAACTGGAAGATAATATCCTTTGCACGCCCACTGCTTAACTTGGCTTTACTCAGACCTTTCATCCTGCAGAACAAATTTTCTATTCTTGATCCTTTTTTTATTGGATGTAATTTTCTTTACCACGTACTTTTACAATGTATTTTTTTGGGGGGGAGGGGGGGTCTCTTCTATAATATTTCTCTAGATTGATTTTTAATTTTTACTTTCTTAGTCAGTTTATGCTTGGTTGGTTGTTATGTAGTTTATATACTGGTTTATCAGCATTTATTCTGAATTATCATAAGCTATTTTCATGTGTTGAAATGCCATTTGAGAAACCTCATTTCCTGTTAATTTTAATACTTAATTTTAAAATTTTCTTTATTCTTATTTTGTGTTTTAATAACAGCTGAGAATTTTTTGTAAAGCAATATCTTGGCCATGCAAAAGCCCTCTTTGATATTTTTCCGTATAACTTGCCAAGGCAGCTCAATATTTAGTATATTTAATGATGAATTGACTTTCAGGAAAAGTAGCTTATTTTATTTAATAATTATAATTTGATTTTTCAGAACGAAGGGCAAAGAAGCTTGTGAAATTGCATTTTGCATGCCAAGGCCGCGGTGAGCACTGCCTTTACAGCCGAACCTTTTTTACCATGAAAACACGTAATCCTAGAGTTTGGATACATTTGATGTTCTTAGCCTTACAGGTAGGTTTGTGCAGATTGTCGCAGAGTGTTGGAAATTTAAACACAAAATATCATAATGTGGATCTCATAGAAACAACTACCAAAAAATGATTTGCATTTTTCATAGTAACAGAAACATCATTGTGAAATGTTCAGAATAAAGTAAAATTCACTTTTCCATATGTTGCAAAATTAGGAAGAATTTAGGTATTCAAATGACATTCTTCAGACTTGATTACCTTCTTAATGTATTCATTTCTTTTCTGTGTGCTATTTACAATGCACAGATATTAAGATAAAATATAAGTCAGTGAAGTTGGAAAGAAGATAAGTTACTTTCTTTCATTATTTTCAAGTCAGTGTAATAATTATGAGATAATTTGAATTGTGAACTATTCTGAATTCCTATATGGCATTTTGATGGTGTTCCTTTGCTCCCAGGCAAGGTCAGAATCTGCTCTGAGTTCCCGTGACTCATCTGTCAGCAGTTTGAAAAACTGTTGGGATATCCTGAAATGTGAAAACAAGACTTTTCTAACTCTTGTTACATCAGCTTTTCCATGCACAAAAGATCAAGATGCTCTATTATCAGAATTACACTGTTCTGGTTTTTTTGATGTTTTTGAGTGTTCTGCAAGTCAATGGGGCTGCTTCCTATGTAATCACCCAGAGCGAGCTGTAGGTTTCTTGCAGGATGGTCAGCCAGTTATTGAGGGACAACTGAAGGAGAAGAAGGGGCGGTGGCGTATTTTCAGAAGATGGAGAACTCGATATTTCACTCTTTCTGGAGCTCATCTATCTTACAAAGGATCTGTAAGTTACTTAATTTTGAATGGCATGAATTTGAATAGCATACTTCAGGCACTCCAAACTAATTAATTACTAGTTTTTACTTCAGAATGCAAGTATTGCAGAGAGAGGGGTAACAGTAATAAAATCACTGCTAGGGAGGGAGCTTTATTAATAGGGAACCACATACAGTTCAACAATTACATTAGCCTTATTCTGAAGGATTGAAATCCTCTAATTGATGCAAAATGATATTGATGTGTGAAAGTTTACTTTTAGAAATTGTAACCTTTTCTTCGCTGGATTTCAATCTGAAAGTTCTTTAAATTTTGCCTTTCACTCAGTAGAAACAAAGTTAAGAACAGTCACAAAAACATTGTAAAAATAATGTTCTAATTGAATGGTTGGTATTTAAGAAATGTGTTATAGATTTTTGTATTTATTATTACAGAAAGATGACAAGGATGTGACACCTATAGAAGTAAACCAAATTCGCAGTGTCAAGGTTTCCCGTGGAGCAAGAAATATACCAAAAGCTTTTGAGATCTTCACTGGAGATCAGTCTCTCATTCTGAAGCCCAAAGGAGGGAAGAATGCAGAAGAATGGGTTCAGTGTTTGAGCATTGTTGTAGCTCATTCTCATTCGCGTGAGGCACCGGCAAAAAGTAACTCATTGCCTGCTCGGGGTGCAAGTCTTCGTACTGCTGTATGACAGGAGCCGGTTGTGCTGTGGTGTTCATTTTGGCATTTACTCAGCATCAGACTCATCGTTAATCAGATTTTTTTTTTCCATATAAAAAGCCCAGATTCATGGCAAGGATCTTCATAGTTACTTTATGTCCATTAGTTTCAATGTATTATGGAGGGAGGGGGGGGGAGAGAGAGAGAAGTAGTAGTAGTTAATAATTAAATATAAAACCACTGAAATGTGAAAATCAGCTATTCCAATTTAGAAGAAAGAGGAGTAAATACTAATGTCAAATTAATTGTTAATTTACAATTATGTTTCAAAAATTGTTCAAATATCTAGTGTATTTGACAGTCTGAAGCATGTTACAAAATCAATGTAGATACCTCTGATATTTTAAAGAATGAAATGCATTGCATTATTCTTGTGAAATAGACCATTTCCACTGATCTGTTTTATTAACTTGAGAGTTGAATCTGTTTGGTGAACAAAATTACAGTTATATACTTTTCATAAACATTAAAACTCAATACAACCTTGGTCTGATACAGAAAGAGTCAATGCAATTGTTGAACACTCCAATTAACGTGCCAAATTGTATGTTGAGGAAAAGATGTTGATATGTGAACATTCTTGAGTATGGTATTCATAGTGCTAAAAAATTAGCTTCATTCCAATCCGGTACATTTTCCTGATAATGAGTCTTCCATACTTTTCTCAAATTAAGACCAATTAGAATTACTGTGCCTATTATCTGTACTGAAAATTTCATAGCTGAAGAATTTATTATGTTGTACTTAATATGTTTATATTCCACAGTTTCTGATATTATTTATTGATTGACATATTTTAACTCAAGGAAATAATTTTACTCATGGAAAACAAAGTTATTCTCTTGAAAATAAGCGTTTGAGCTACATATGTTGTAAATTGATAAGCATCTCCTCTGCTTGGAGGACAATATCTTGCCAAAACTTATTCCAGCCCCCCCCCTTTCATATTTGAATTGGAGAACTTTGTATGACCATGTAATCTCAAAAGTAATTCGGACACTATGAAATTTTTGACCTTGAACATTTGTTTTTGAAACTATCAAAACATTTAAGATCTACAAATTCATTACCACATACTTGACACCAAAATTTTCTTCACCAGTTTTACTTCACTTACAGATAGTGTTGTGCAGTATGTCATTAAAGTTTATTTTTTCTGAAAATCGATTTAGAATCTCAAAATTAGTGTCATGACAGAGTAATTCCTTGGATTGTTGTATTTCAATGATTTGTAAGTAGCACATCACTGCTGAAGGCAACTTCCCACAAGTCTTTCAAAGAATGAATGTTATTTTCATTGCAGTTGACAGGGTAATAGTTTCACAAGCAACGGTTTCTATGGCACCTTAAAACATTTAATCATAGGTCTGATTTTTCCTAAAAATTTACTGCCAACATTCTTATTTTCATATATGATTTGTAGATGACTTAGTGAATGTCTATATGTGAAATCTATACAACATTCAATGCATTCTCAGAGATTCTTTAAAACAATTATCTGAAATTAAGGAATTTGTCTTGCTCGAATTTCACTAAAAACTGTTTATGCATCCTTGTTGACTCTGTCCAAGTTTTGCTTAAATTGTAAGGGTGATAGCAATGTGTAATTGTATTGTACTTAACTGTATTTCTATTATTTATTTTGTAACAAAGTATTTAAATGAATGGAAATGATGTACTTATTGTTTGAGTGATTTGCAACTATAACTTAATTGGTTAATGTGTAAATATTCTAAGTATATATGTGAGGTTAATTGCAAGTCTTTCAAAATTGGGATGTAAAATATGTAATTGGAGATTTTTATATAACATTGGTTTTATTTAAACTTATCTATTATTAAAGTAACTAACCATATATTATATATATGGCATTTACATGAACGTGGAAGTCTGACTTGCACATCTCTTTCAAGTGACTTAATGTAATTTGTTGAATTAAGACTGCCAATCAAGACTCCCGGAACCATATGGACACAACATAGCCATTCATGAAATGCTGAAAAGGTTTAATACAACTATGTGAAACTTTAGTTTTTTGCAGTTGTAATTTTTGGTAAAATTATGTTAATGATTACACAAGGTAGCTTATACTGAAATGGGTCTAAATGAAAGAGTATATCTTTATAATGTTTATTTTTTTACAAGAATTTTTATATATTATTCATATACCACTAATATAAAAAATGGGACCTGAAAGCTCTGTACTTAAAACAGTTTATTTTAGGATTTGTGTAGCTAGTTGCACATTCCGAAAGACAAATATATTATTAAAGTTACTATGTTTCTGATATTTCCTCTATTGAAAACCTCTTCCTTCTGTCCATATGTTTTAGGAAGTCAACAAAGCCTTTGTTTGGATTTATGACTGGGCGTTTTAATTTCACCATTTGGAATGCGTCCTCAAACATCCAACCTTTCTGCATCAAATATGCAATGACAATAGTTGCAGAACGTGAAACTCCTGCATTACAATGAACAAACACACAACCACCTGCTTTCCGAGATTCATCAATAAATGATAAGCACTGATTTAACACCTCTGAAATATCACTCTCAGGAAGATCAAGTAACGGCACAAAGAGATGCTTTATGTCTGGGTCCATTAATTCTGAAATCACACCAACACTGAGGACACTTGTTATCTGATGTTCTTTAAGTAAACCAGGTGTGAGAACCACATCTTGTGACCCCAAACTCAAGCCTGGAAGAATATTTGCTACTTGCAAGTCTGGTTTATTATCTACAACAAAACCAGTCGCTGAACCAATAATTACACTAGTGGTGATTCCATTTGCAGTTCGAATTTCTCTCATTACTTGACCATTGGGCCACGTGACTTGGGTATCACATGGCTGCAGTTTTGATCGTTGCTCAGCAATGCGTTCTTGCAGACTCATTGTCTTTGGAGAATTAAATATTTTTAAATTTTTTTTTTTTATTATTTCTTTAAATGACTATTTTTCTTGAGCTACGTGGAGGCTGTGTATTTAATGAGCTGTATTATTGAATAATAATTGAAACCCTCTGCAAGAAAACTGCAAACAAAGCAAGAAAAATAATTAGTAACCGTTTCAATAGTGCGTTATAAAAAAAATGTTAAGGCTTCCAAAAAATTCTGATATTTTGCGCCAGCAATCTTTTGTAGGAAGGCATAACACATGGAACAATTTGATTCTATAAATTGTGCTATAGAAATAAGACTTTTCAACATTGAGAACATGAAAAATCTGGAGGTAAATGAAGACTTTTTACCTCATCAGCATGAGGTTGAGAGGAGTAACATTCCAATGCGGATGAAAGGAAAAGGAATGTGTGTTCATGAGGAGGCAGTCTGCTACTACAGCAGCCCTACATCATTAAAACATAAAAATAATCCTTGACATACAAACTTAGCAACGGAATTCATCTTTCTCTCACCAACAGAACAATTACAGAGATTACAGGAGCGATTGATTTCGTATTACCAAAACTATCAAAAAGGAAAATTTTATATTTAGTTATTTTATTAGTTTTGATGTTAAAAACAACAATTTAAAAAATCAATTAATTGATTATTTTTTAATAATTGCCCATCCCTATCCACAAGGGTTTTTTTTGCCCATGCGTACTGGTAACTTAATTCATCATGTAATAATTTAAAAAGATAACCATGTTTCCTAATTTGACAAAATTATAAGCATGGTTATACAAAAAATTAGCCTTCAAAAGAATGAGATTTAAAGGAATAAGTTTCGAAAATTGAGTACAGAGTAGATTCAATCAACTTACAATGACTTCTCAACCGCCTGAAGCCTTGTGGTCATTCAATGATAGTGCCTCTTGTTTGGTTTCATTCATCACATTTCCATTTTCTAAAATTAAGTCTGCAGCATCATAATGCACATTGCTTAGATATAATCCATAAGCTGGAGCTGGTGCAACAAAAGATTTCCAACTTTCTGGACTAGGATTTGCCAACATATGCTCTACATCAGATTCTAGTAATTTGCCTTGAGCAACAGCCACTAGAACACCTACCATTCGTCGTACCTATGGAAAAGTTTTCAAATTCTAATATTAGGTTGCAAGAAATTTCTTTTCAGGAACGTATCAACAAATAAAGTTTATTTCATGTCTCTGGCTTACATTTAAAGTTCTTAATTTTCTAACTTTACTCTCAAGAACACCATCCTCCAAATTTAAACACTATAAAAGATCGCATGAAATAGATCACAGAGGGAGAGCGAGAGTATGAGCAGACACGAGAGCGAGCCCAAAGAAACACCCTATTTTTGAAGTAGATTTTTCTACATTTATAACAAAAATAAATATCTTGTATGAAGTGCGTGCAATGTTGATCTTAATAATCGAGAATTTGAGGAAAGCCACACATTGATTACATAACATTCCAATTTTTTCCCATTATTTCCCATCTCAAGTTTTCCCATTAAGCCCATGTGAATGACATTCCATGAACTGATTCCATATTTGGCATCCTTAACAGGTGTTTCTCAGCAGGGTGCAGAAAACGTGTTAATACTATTGTGTGTAAGAAATGCTAGTCAGGTTTCGAGTGAGTTATGCACACTTTCTATGAAACATGAGCTAGCACATGGTTGTGATTACTTCAGCTTCGCAAAAGTCTTCTCGTACTGTATCGGATTTCTGAAAAGCAGGGGATAAGTTTGCCAATTCAAGGAAGAAGATCCAGTCTCTCAGAATGACAATTTCAGGAACACATGTTGGCAAACTCATTTATGATACTAATGTGTTCCACTTTATCATGTAAATATATTAAAATGCAATGGAATATGTAGAAGTAGGTAAAATGTATTAAAATATGTAAAATATAAATTAGTTTGAATCAAGTAGAATATTGAGTAAAAATTGTTGAATGCTAGTATATTGAACCAGTAAAAATATGTATTTACATGTGAATTATAAGTAATTTTAAGTTAAATACACTGGAAAATTACTTTTGGACGCCCACTTTAAATTGAAGAATTTTCCAATGAATTTGACAACTGTTTTGTCCAAGTACCAAGATTAATATTTGAAATGTGTGTTAAGGGAAATAAATACAACACATGACATGCAAAATGTTCAAATAAAACTAATATGGATGTTACATCACGTAGAATGTTGTAACTACAACAAATAACATTAATTTCATTAAAGTAAACATAAAAAATAAATGGAAGATTTCATTTTATCACTAGAAGAAAGGCTGTTTCTTTTCTACAACCTACTTCAAGAAGATTTTTCTCACCCTTTTTCATTTCTTGGATCATAGAAAAAAACACACTATTCATCTTTATCAATAAATCTTGTCAATAAAAAGAATATACTGGTAGAGAAAGAACTCTTAATTCACATACCTGCCGGTACCCAAAAGATTTGGCACAAAACACAATGTTCCAGTAATTGTAGTGGGCTGAAGGTTCTGAAATATCAGATGGTATCGATGGCTGGTGTGGTGAAATATGTATAGAATGTAAAACACGTACTGTAGATATTTCTTTTACACTTCCATCTCTATTTCTTTTATTTGAAATGCCAATAAAAGTACAAAAATCTTTTTCTCCTAGTAATAGCCTTGCAGACGATCTGAATTTTTCCACATCAAACTCAGGATTCCTAAAATGAAAAGAAAAAATATAAAAAAAATTGTACAAGAATATAGTTAACAGAAAATGTTTGTTGTATCATTACCATAAACCATCTTGTCAATGAAAAAAATACTACATTAACTGCTATGTCAGCAAATATTTTCTCACATTACTTGAGATGATTACATATTATCATAAAATTGCAACTTGAACTCTACTAATACACAACCCATATCTTGAAAAACTCCCTTTACCAAATTAAGTATGAAAGATTTGGAGAAAAACAACAATAGGTGGATCTTTAATTTTTCTCCAGTCCAAATTTTTAATGAAAATGTCACTTGACTAAATTTGTGTTTTCGGGCGAGTCGAATACTATAATCATTAGCCTTGTACAGGTGAGGCGAGTTATTTCCCAGAAAATGCTGGTGTTCCTCACTTGCTGGGAAATGAAATCCGGCACTGACCTACTTGTCGGCTTGCTGCAATTTCCCTTTCCACGTATATCTGCCAGAAAGACATCACAACAGCTGGGTTTTTAAGCTCCTGACACATGGTAGTGAAGTGTAGGTGTGCACGAGACATGGAGTAGTATAAGTGTGCATGTGTATTAGTGTAGTGTAAATGTGTGTGAGTGTGTTTGTTATGGGACTGTTCACGCATTTGCCTGGTATTGATTGACAGTTTTTCCAAGAGAGCAGTCAACTGCTAGAATTCTCTTCCAGAGAGTGACAGAATTCAACCTAATTCTTAGGCCAGCATTAACAATCTACCACCACCAGGAGCCCAAACTCTAGGATTCACCACAGAATGAGGAGTGGATATTATTGCTTATAATTTAAGGATATGCTGCCACACATGAGTTTTCAGAGAGAACATGCCACAAGCAATTGAACTAGTGGTTCTACAGAATGACACAGACTTTCCCATATTAGCTTGCTATTGCCTTTGGTTTCAGCTAGATATTCAAACTTACCACACACTCTTGTCAGCTGCCATCTATCACTACCCAAAGTAAGTTTTTTGAAATTTTCTTAATACAAGTATGCAAGTGCTGGTGAAGTACCATTAGTTAAATTATAAAAAGAATGTAGCAACTACTGTTTTTGACATTTCATAAAAATAAATATTTGCTTGCACAAATAAATGCATAAAAGATAGTTTCATTAATATTTTCAGCAAGAATTACATCATCATAATCTTGAACATAAAAGACTTAGACCATTTGGCCTGTTCCTTTTAATTTTTACATTATTCCCATAGTTACTTGCATGGTGGATCTGGTCTTCCCAGTGCTTTTTAGATCTCTCTTCCTCTTGGCTTGTAATTTATCACTTTTCTTCAGAAAAGGTCTCCTTTATTTGTTTTATTGTTCTCACCATTTCCTTCTCAAACTCTAACACTAGAATTACGTACTATTCATATACACTTACTGAATAAAGTAGCATCTTCTCCAATCCCAAAATGGTATCTGAGCAATTAAATCCTGATTTCCAATAGCTAAAGGTGGCGCTTCAGGTTTTCTTACAGCCAGGCGATACAAATAACTCCGTTTAATTGCACTAAAACGTGCATGAAATGTCTCTGGCACAATTTGGCACTCCTGCACTCTGAAAAAAAAGCAGACATCACATTGAGAGCGAATTGGGGACACATTTATACATGTTTGTAAGACAAAAATATTTTTATTGTCCGTACACAAGGAAATAAATTTTCAGAAATTCTATAATCCAGCAGAAATAAAATATTTGCAATACGTTATTTTTATCACAGCTAGAGGCAATCAAATTCATGAGAAAGCTATTAGGTTTAATTTATATAAGCAGATAGGAAGTTATTTACTGAATTCACATCCCAATATCAAAAATTAAAATCGTATATTTCAAGGTAACAATCGTAATAAAACACAACCAAGGAAAATTGACTTTTCAAACTTTGTTAAAATTATTATGTTCAAAATAAACTTCATTAACACAACCAAGGTATATTAATAATTCTGACAACATAATACAGCATAATTGTACATTTTGAAACTATGTCCCTACTGCAACATAAGACCAAGTACTTAAATCAGGCAAGGAACAGGTTTATGGTTGAATATTGGTGAAATTATATAAGATGTGTCAAGTGGTTTTGGTTCAACAATGACCGTTTGCCCTGTAATGACACATAATAAGCTCTCTCTGGGACAAAACATGACTGGGTCACGGAAGAGAACGTGTAGCGTGGTCAGAAATGGCCAATATGGAAACAATCAGTCTGGGTGGCCAATCATTTTCTGAAACAAATTGCCCTGACTATTCACGGTTTTTCTGGTAGTTTATATGTTCTACTAATACAATTTTTATTTTCAAACTAAAAACAATGTTAAAGGTAGCTTGATACTACTTGGACAGTCCTCTTATTTGCCAAGGCACACTACAAATTAATATTTCCTTAACAAATAAAAATTGAGCATAGAATAAAGCTGTATTACATTTTTTTAGAAATATCTATTTTTATAACCATCTCAGAATTTTCCCAGACTTCCAACGTTTCTTCCACAAATTTCCTGATTTTTTCCTGACTTTTCCACAGAAATAAAATTTCCAAATTTTCCTGTTTTTCCAGAAAGTGGCCAGTGTCAGTATATCGAATATGAATTCACGTGCCGCTTTTCAATTTTTATTGAAAATGCACTACCAACCTTACCTGATAGCAATGTGACTTCTGTCGAAATATTTATTGAGGCCTCTTACTAGATCAGTAGGTACGTAATTAGTTCCCGACTGATGTTCCAAATCCACGTGAATAGCTGAGCGTAGGCCGTGAACACCCCTGTCAGTCCTATAAACAAATACCACAATAAGTATGCCTACAAAATCGGGAGTTTAATCATTAAAAAGTACACTTACCGACTAGAAATAACTACCTGGGGCACTTTCACCGGGTCAAATTTTCTCAGGGCGATTTCTAGCATGCCCTGAACTGTAAACGGATCTTCTGCCTCAGGCTTGGCTCTAGAGACTTGTTTCTGGATGCCTCTAAAGTCAAAAAGGTTCAACAGTCAGTGTTTCGGAAAATATAATGGTCTTAATTCGCATTGCCTGTTCAACTAACCTAAACCGGGTTCCCAGGTACGATATATACATTAAAAATCGTGTCATGACAACAACCGCTAAATGTTTATAATAAGCAGCTTCAGCACGTACTTGTTAGCCTATGAACTTGTCAGATCTGGTTTTTAAACTTGTTACAAAATATAATATTTACAGAATAGAAACTTCTTCACAACGTGCGCGATGCCTGTGATTAGAACGCAGCTCTCCCCGCCCCGCTCTCACTCCTGTGCGCGCCGAGTACGCGTGCTACGTACGTTTGCCGCCTAATTTTAAATGATACTAAATCATACTGGTCTATATGCCGACATAGATAAGTAGTACATGGTTGTATTCCATTTAGTTATTGTTATTATTATTATTATTCATCTACTTCACGACGATTATAGATGTTTTAAGACCGTCGAATATTATCCACTCCAGGTGGCAACCATGGTGGAAATTACCAAATAAATTATTTACACCATGGTTACAACCAGCTTCCTAAGGAGCAGATTTAGGGGCTGGCGGTGCCTCTACAATATTTTGCGCAAAATGTGGGCTGTTCCCAATACAGGGTCTTGCACTTCCCAGTTTTTTGAATCGCCTGGGAATTTGTCAAGTTCTTACCTAAATTTTGCAGAACAAATCCTAAAAATAACACTGATAACTATAGAGACGATCTGTGCTTCGACGCTCTACATTCAGCTTATCTCGATATCTAAACCCCTATTTTTTAGACGTATCTCTGCTCAGCGCCGTCTTGACCCTGGTTTCAGAGTTGCATTGAACCAGGGCGGCATAAAATTAGAATGCTTGTTTAAAACTTTGAGACAAAATAAAATTTGTAATATATATCAAAGAGCAATACATGCTTAGCCCTGCGTGTTAGTAAACTATGTAGACGTATAACAATAAATACAAAAAGTTCCACCGGTCATTTGAAACAAGCAGAACAGTTTTTAGGGCGGCATTATTATGTCCGCTCTTCCGTCTGTGGTCAACGCTAGCGCCTAAACTATTGGGGGGCCGCGGGCCGCGCGTAATTTAATCCTCTTATTGTGTGTTCTCACGATCAAAAACCAATCATTTAAAAACGGAATTACAATATGTTATGAAAACGAATTGAGAAACTTTAAATACATGTTGCTTCCTCCATCGATTATTGTCATAAGAATGGAAGCTATTGAAATGTTATTGTCGTTAGCGTAAAGCCTGAAAGTGAATGTTATTGCAATATCGTTATTTAACTACCATTAAACGAAAAACAATAAAGAAATAAGTTGTGATACGAACAAGACCACAACGTCGATTCAGTATAGCAGTTGAATACAGCGCCACTTATGTTTTGACTTCAAAAAACATGGAGGTCACTAGTTCGGCGAGCCTTCCCCAGGAGCGCTCTAACTTTCGGGTCAGCCATAGTATGTAATTCTAGCTGGTTGAGTTTCATCTATAGAGGAAAGGTTTCAATTGTTGAAAGAGCAAAATGAAGTGTTTCGTTATGTAGTATATGACTTCAATAAACTAGGAGAAATTAGTAAATTGGACATTATAAAAAACATTGTATCGATCTATAATTTTAACTGACCGATTGTACTTCGGGTTTTATTGTTTAAGCGGCAATTACATAAATTGCATTTTCTGCGTTGGTGAGCATTGACAAGTTTGAGATCTAAAAATAAAACAAAAATTCCTTCCATCTCCCATATAGATGGTGATAGGATAGGAGAGGTCAAAAGGATGTGACGAGGGCAGGTGGGGTTTACTATGGGTGCTTTTTTTAATGGGAAACTTTTTTGGGATGGAATATATGGAGCCTTTTTATGATTGCAAGGTGGGCTAATTTTTTTATTAACTTAAACAGATAGCACGATAGCGGCAAACAAACCGGATATTGTTATTCGGACTTTTGAGAAAAAAACGGGTCTACTTGTAGATGTGGCTGTAATTCTTATTAATAGCGTGAAGATTTTGTCATTTTATCTTAGTCTAATTTGTATTGCAAATTAGTTTTTGTCATTTTCTTTCAGTCTGGTCAGTTTTACAAGTCACGTTTAAGTAGTTTACGTAAGTGAGTGAGTGGTGTTATTAAATGCGAGGAGTTGGGAGCTGGAGTATATCGAGTGGTTGGTGGCGTTTTTATATATGGGCGAGTTGTTGAAGATATAGATATGAGGAGCCAGGAAAGGGGAACATTTTACGTTTTTAAGTGCTATCGTCACACGAGTCTTTGCGTTGTAGTATATTTTAGTTTGAATTGTCGTCAATCTTATTTTCGTCTTGATCGTCGCATATCCGGTAAGGGGAGGAGCTCAAAACCAATACTGACTGATGAAACTGATACAAATAGTCCAAAAAATATTTCTCAAATCAAAATGATCACCAATTGAAGTATTGAATTCATATTTCAATATAAATTAACTGAGACATTCCCTAATATTTCCGTGATATTACAAATTTTATTAACTTTGTCAGTTATAGTAGCCACCGGAAAAATATAATTTTCAAAATTAAAAAGTATTATTCTAAAAACTTCCTGCGATAAACCATGTCACAAAAAATATTAACAAACCTGGCAATTATATCAATTGGAAATTAAATCTGCAACAATATTTATTTAGAAAGTATCATAAAAAGTTTGCAAGTTTGAAAGTTTGAAAAGTGCCTTATTTTATATTGTACGTAGATATGATTTATTATTTTGTAAATATATAACAATTCTTCAGTAAATACTATTTTAAACAACTAAACTTTTCTACTATTAAGAGTATGCAGTTAAAGTATTCCTTTTGAAAGCGGCAACATGTATTTGCACCAGGGTGGCAAACTAGTGCGCGACGGCCCCTTTGGTTACGTTTCGATCGCACGGCACAGCCACTTCTACAAGTAGACCGCCGTTTTTTTTCTCAAAAGTACGAATAACAATATCCGATTTGTTTGCCGCTATCGTGGTATCTGTTTGAATTTGTCGTACAGAATTGTACAGCCCAACAGACGTCACCACTTTGGGTGAAAATGTTATAAGTGTCAAAAGTCAATATTATATAATGATTTTATAGCAGATTTAGCCACAAAAGGGTAGATAGAAGATTACCTCTTCTCTGCAAATACGATCTAATTATTAACTTTCAAGAATATAACTAAGCCTCTTTCATAGTCAGAACGTCCAGGCAACACCGCCAAAATACGGAGTAATGTACGCAGTACTGTAAAATGTAATGCCGCGGAAAATCAATTTAGAGATTTCAGCGGAAATACATGTTTTGGGGACCCTGATACAGAAATTCAAATTGTATTATTCAAAACGTCCGTTAGTTCGTTCATTCGTTCGTCTGTCCGGGAAGAACACTATAATATCTAAATACATTCGATGGCTTTCTGGCAAAATCAATATTCCCCAGTCAATATGGCTCGACCCAAAGACCTGCAATTTTTTGAAAATAATTCTTTGAATTTGGGTAATTTATTTCACGAAGTCTCTGAAACATTTTCAAAATTTTCTCAAAAAGGATCCGAACTTTTTCTTTAAATTTCCCGTAAGAATAGCCTCAAATATACTTATAAAGATGACATAAGTGCGATTTCCACCGTTATCCCTCAATTTTCGCAAATTGCGACAGTTTATAATTTTTTGAACCCCCTCGTACATTATTGAACATATATTTTCTTTAGAAATTCCTCTCAATAATTAGTGCTTTAATTAATGCCATGTTTTTGAAAATATCAGTAGTTTTCGTGCAATTTGTAGAGGAAGATAGCAATATTTAAAAAAATATTAAAAACAAGATTTTCTCAAAAAGGGATTCAATCTTTTGATTTAAACATTTTCAACGGTGCTAAAGACTGAATAACATGTCATAAACGTTATTTTGATGTATCATTTTGATTTTCCAAAAATTCCACACCTAACACGCACAACATCACAGTATTATACGGCCTTATTATATATGTATATAAATATACTATATATAGTATATATATATATATATATATATATATATATATATATATAACGGCCAACATCGTTAGGTCAGATTATCTCAACATTACGGTCGTTATTTGTACATTAATGCTTTTGTTAGTTCAAGGGCTTCAAATGAGAAGCGCTCTTAAGAATTTTCTCGAAAGCTCACAAGTTTTCTGTGAAAACGAGGTCAAAATTGTGCGTTTTCAGAAACGCTCAAACGACATTTTCTCAAAAACGCCTTCAAGTTTTACACTGAAAATTTGTATATAAATCCAAATCTTCCTGTTCTGTTATGTTTAAAAGTCATTTGATTTCTACTATTAGAGCTCTAAAAAATGGAGAAACTGTACGTTTTTTGATAATTTCCCCAATTTCATATGAAAAGAAACTACACCATTGTGTTAACTTTTAGGTAATGTAAATATTATGTTTTAGATTTAGATTTAAATTTAGATTGGGATTTATTCAGTGAAAACTCCAATCTGGATATGATTCCAAAAATCTCACGAACACCTCCCACTACTATCCTCCCGCCATCATCCTAGCTCATTCACAACTCATTACCCTGTCACTCCAGTAATAATAATAATAATAATAATAATAATAATAATAATAATAATGGGTGTGTCTCTATGTTTGTGTGTGTCTATTTCATCGTCATTACATCCCACACCCCAGGGATTCCGACCTTGTGGGATAAAAATGGAATCAGTATTAAATGCTGATCCCCCAATAGAACCGTAACGTGCCCCGATAATCATGACCGAGCCCCGATGGGATGCACGTATCACGTGGCTCCATGATGGCAGATTCGCGAAATAAAATAATAATAATAATAATAATAATAATAATAATAATAATAATAATAAGAAGAAGAAGAAGAAGAAGAAGAAGAAGAAACCGAACAAATTGGTTAAGTGCGTAGTGCGCTGACTTCGCAGTCGGGAGGCCCTGGTTTGATCTCCGGGCTAGCCGTTATTTCTGTGGTTTCTCTCGGTCATACAGGCGATTGCTGGGATGGTTAAAAAAGGCCACGATCACCTCTCATCATCATCACCATCCTATCAACTCATTCATAATTCAAGGCTTAACAATCTTGTTTTATCAAGGAAAACAGTCGAAAATCTGAACCCCATAATGACACACGTTTATCTCTCCGGGATAAAATATGACTGTGCTCGGAAGAAAACGTGTAGGGTGGTCATAAATGGCCGATATGCAAATAATAATATTAATAAATGTGTTATTTAATAAGTAACAATACGTTATTTCTTTAGGAATGTAAG